ATGTTGCCTAAGCAGCAGCTCCATCTCTGCAGCAACTGGGGTGGGGAGTTTCCTGACTGAAAATCATATGACTCGAGTCTCCAGTCAGCTATGTAGTAAAAAGGGAAGTGGTGGCTCTCAGGTTACAAAGGGAGCCGGTTACTAGCCAAGGGCGCCCTCTTGCCTCTCCTACATGATAAATGCAAGAGAGATCTGCACTGGTTACACTGTTAACGTGGTTCTATCTGTGCTTTACCAGACTGTCTGATTTCCCCATTTATGCCACAGAATGTACCGACCTTGGTAATAGGAAAACTTTCTTTGATGCTGGGCTCTAACTGCAGCTTGTGAAATGAGGAAAGGAAGTGTGTATAAAATCAGTGAGTGAAACCTGTGCTAAAGGGATTTAGATTAATCTGTTTCCACTTCTCTAGTGCTTTACGGTTTCCAAATTCAGATTCCCTACAGATACAACTGTAAGCAAATATTTTCCCTCCCGTTCCCCCTCCCCAAAAAAATGCCCTCATATTTTAGATTCTAATTTTATCCTAGTCAGGATTAACACTTTCAAGAATTCCTTGTGTGTATCTTGCAGCTCTAACCCAAAGTGGGCTGTGCCCATTAAAGCTCATGATACCATCTACATGTTTTAGTTAGTCTATAAAGTGCTACCAGACCATTTGTTGTTTTTTAAGTTTATCCTGTAGAGACTAACTCGGCTACCCCCTGAAGCTTATTTTTCTCATGTGAGTAGTGAAGTTAATGAGACTCCACACAGGAGAAAGGCCCAACCCTGTAAATCTGACTGCAATATCCTAGATTTAAAATGTTTATACAAGTTCTTCTAAGAGCATAAAAGCAGAATTGTTTTACATGATTAGTTTTTCATGGGGTGTGCTGGAGGACAGAAGGAGGAAAACATTTAAATGATAATTAAGGCTTTACTCTTGCATCTGGCTCTACCCTTGGCATATTTTAATACTATGCATGCCCAGTTGCAGGATCCGGGTCTAAAACACACACCAACGTGACAGAGATAGTATATTTTATTAGCTCATCTTCCGTTGATGAGAGACAAGCTTTTGAGACACACAAAGCTCTTCTTCAGGTGACTAATTCTCGGGGATCTCCCTATGAAAAGGAGGCTCTATGGAACACTGTTGGAAACAGGCTCCCTGATCCTGCTCTGAGCTCCACCGCCCGGCAAAAATCAATACCAGGCCAAAACCAAAGTCCACGAAGCGCTCAGTAATGAACACACGGGGGCAGGGGGAGGTAGCGGGATGAATAGCAATGCAAAGCAGCTGCTCCCGCCTGCCCTGCTCTCCAGCTGCCGTTCGCCACGTCTGCCGGCCGGGGGGGGGCGGCACGCG